GATTCCTGAAATCTTTATAGAGATGCAAAATCTAGTTCAGCTCAACACAATTTCAAAACAAACATACATATAAACAAAAATAGTCATAATAATAATGTTGACTAGGCCAAGCTCTCGTTTACCTCTCTGGTCACAAACATTTTCTGTGCACATTTTTGTTTTACAGTGTTAGGCTTCAAGTAGATCTAAACAAACAAACAAACAAACAAAAACTTGTACATTGAAAACTAAATGTGAAATAAATTAACCAACATGAGAGGTAGTGAAAAGCCTACAAAGACATTTTGTATATATATGTATATATATATATTTTTTTTAAATACAAAAGAAAAAAAAAAAGAAAGAGAACACCTCAATAAGGCCAAAGCTATGCACACCTCTAATCCCATCAGGACACTTCGGCTCGCAACCTTTTGTGTGTCTGTGTGTGTGTGTATATTAATAAAACCACAGCCACATTTCAAACACTCGCTCACTTGGAAACCATTGGAATTTCAGAGACAAAAATCTAAACTCAGCGATGACACTAAAAATCATTTCACATCATCGTCATTGCTTGTAAAACCCACATTTTTAATGCAGGTACTAGAAAATAAACAGCCGCGCCCTCTTTTCCCCCTGCTGCGTAAAAGTCAGAATAAATCAAGAAGAAAGGACGATAGCAGCAAATGGGAGTTTCTGCTGTGCACGCCCTTCCTGTAAAAACGCTCCCAGTTTGAAACTTGGGAGACTCGTGCCAGCTTCAAGCCTGCTGGCTCTCGGCTCCTCACTGTTACACGTTTTATATAAGGTATACACTTCTCACAATTTATAAATGTAAACTTAGTTTGATTGCACCATGATTTCATTATCTGATTCTTGGTTAAACATTCTTGTGTTAGTTACTACTATATAAACAGGCATATAGCTATACTGTGCAGAGGAGGGATTTGCCAGTGAGGGAACTTCATGAGTGGCAGTGAAAAAGTACCGGAGAAGCCAAACGCAGGATCTAAAATGCTGTTTTTTTTAAATAAGAGACCCTTTCCAAGGAGTAAGTGTGAAAACTGACCTTCGCTTTCAGAATGGTTAACTGACTCTGCAATCCGCTGTCTCTGAAGGGCACATGCAAAAGCACAGCTCTTGATTCAAGCAGCCAAGCAATATCAGTTGATACCTGGTAGATTTTAATGTCTGCCTCTAAGTGCTGTATTGCAAATTAATTAGGAGGACGGCAAAACTGTGGCGAGATGATTGGTTTCAACCTCTCGACTTTACAACAATGACTTATGAATCACAACAGGCTTACTATGTTCCTCCAGTTAAAACGTGCAGGCGCTAACGGTTAGCTGCAAATAGTGGCAATTACAACATTTTGTTTATCTTGGAAATGTTTTTGGTTCATTTACGTGACCTGACAGTTTAGCCGTAATCTATAATAAGGAGACTAAACCAATTACACATCAAAAACCTGTTGTCTCTTTTATTTATTTGAATTTTTATTTTAAACCAGACCAAGATTGGCACAAAAACCTCAGGTAGTTAAAAAAGGCGGGAACATAGATGTCTACATTTCTCAGTGAGGAGCAGCATTGTTTCTGACTAACACTGCACTAACCACCAACCTGGCCATCAGATGGCATAATAAATGTACACAAGGGCTCATTTGATTAAAAAAACCAACAACCCAGCATATACTGCACTCATGCACTTTCTAATGCAGATCCACAGGCCAGGAACAAAGTTCATGTTCAAATATTCACATAATAAAAAACGATGCCATTTTATGTGCTAAAAAATCTAATGGGACATTTGGCAAAAAAAAAAAAAACCTCCCAACTTTTTTATGTTTTTGGTGAGTTGTTAATCTCTCACACACATATTCACTACAACTGCATGCTGTTAAAGTTGGGTTAGAAAAATAAACCAGAGTGTGTGAGGGCTGCCAGTTGAAGGGAAGATTAGCATGGCTAGCACAAGCATGCTTTTAGCTTGTCTATAGCATGCTTAAACCCATTTGGCATTGTTGAAAAGGCTTATGTGGAGCATGACGATATAAATGTATGGTAGCATTATTATAGCAGCCCTCTTCTTCAGCTCTGTAAAATAAAAAAATAAAATAAAAAGAGTCCGTAGCTAATGGAGGGACTACTACCCACCGAAATGGCTGAGTATTGGCAGCCTGGTGACAAGTCAAAGCATCAATCATATTTGGCACCCAGTTCACAAATTGGCTGATAATTGATAAACTCCCAACGACTATAACGTTAATTTGGACACCTAAAGCTAAAGACTTTTAAAAAACCCGTTCTATTCCATCTGTTCCCAGGAAATTTGCTACTGTTCTATCAGCTATCCATAAAGCTCAGTTCTTTGAGACAATATAGTTTGCTTTTTATTTTCCTTCAGTTGTGGTTTTGCCCAAACTAGACACCTGTGGTTGTCAGGCTGCGATGGTTTGGGTTGAAGAAGGGAATCTCCAGCAGCTCCTGTGCCACCTTTTCTTACACATAAAGGCATTGCAATTTTCTCAGTGGAGATATATACAGGTCCTTCTCAAAAAATTAGCATATTGTGATAAAGGTCATTATTTTCCATAATGTAATGATAAAAATGAAACTTTCATATATTTCAGATTCATTGCACATCAACTGAAATATTTCAGGTCTTTAATTGTTTTAATACTGATGATTATGGCATACAGCTCATGAAAACCCAAAATGCCTGTCCCAAAAAATTAGCATATCATGAAAAGGTTCTCTAAACAAGCTATTAACCTAACCATCTGAATCAACGACGTAACTCTAAACATGCAAAAGATTCCTGAGGCTTTTAAAAACTCCCAGCCTTGTTCATTACTCAAAACCGCAATCATGGGTAAGACTGCCGACCTGACTGCTGTCCAGAAGGCCATCATTGACACCCTCAAGCAAGAGGGTAAGACACAGAAAGAAATTGCTGAACGAATAGGCTGTTCCCAGAGTGCTGTATCAAGGCACCTCAGTGGGAAGTCTGTGGGAAGGGAAAAGTGTGGCAGAAAACGCTGCACAACGAGAAGAGGTGACCGGACCCTGAGGAGGATTGTGGAGAAGGGCCGATTCCAGACCTTGGGGGACCTGCGGAAGCAGTGGACTGAGTCTGGAGTAGAAACAACCAGAGCCACCGTGCACAGGCGTGTGCAGGAAATGGGCTACAGGTGCCGCATTCCCCAGGTCAAGCCACTCTTGAACAAGAGACTGCGTCAGAAGCATCTCGCCTGGGACTGCTGCTGAGTGGTCCAAAGTTATGTTCTCTGATTACAGTAAATTTTGCATTTCCTTTGGAAATCAAGGTCCCAGAGTCTGGAGGAAGAGAGGAGACACAGAATTCACATTGCTTGAGGTCCAGTGTCAAGTTTCCACAGTCACTGGGGTGTCATGTCAGCTGCTGGTGTTGGTCCACTGTGTTTTATCAAGCGCAGGGTCAATGCAGCTAGCTATCAGGAGATTTTGGAGCACTTCATGCTTCCATCTGCTGAAAAGCTTTATGGAGATGAAGATTTCATTTTTCAGCACGACCTGGCACCTGTTCACAGTGCCAAAACCACTGGTAAATGGTTTACTGACCATGGTATTACTGTGCTCAATTGGCCTGCCAACTCTCCTGACCTGAACCCCATAGAGAACCTGTGGGATATTGTGAAGAGAAAGTTGACAGACGCAAGACCCAACACTCTGGATGAGCTTAAGGCCGCTATCGAAGCATCCTGGGCCTCCATAACACCTCAGCAGTGCCACAGGCTGATTGCCTCCATGCCACGCTGCATTGAAGCAGTCATTCATGCAAAAGGATTCCCGACCAAGTATTGAGTGCATAACTGAACATGATTATTTGAAGGTTGGCGTTTTTTGTATTAAAAACACTTGTCTTTCATTGGTGGGATGAAATATGCTAATTTTTTGGGACAGGCATTTTGGGTTTTCATGAGCTGTATGCCATAATCATCAGTATTAAAACAATTAAAGACCTGAAATATTTCAGTTGGTGTGCAATGAATCTGAAATATATGAAAGTTTAATTTTTATCATTACATTATGGAAAATAATGACCTTTATCACAATATGCTAATTTTTTGAGAAGGACCTGTATATATATTTTTTTTTCTTTAAAGTTCACGAGTTCAGACGTAGCTTCCCAACCACAATTCCAGCTCTTGGAGAAGGAAGGAAAAGGAAGGAAAGTGCTTGAATGAATAAATGAATGGATAAATGAAGACGTGGATAGATGGATGGTCGGTGTTGCACTACAGCTTTAATAAGAAAAATAAAATAAAAACTGTAGTGAGCTTAAAACTGATTGAGGAGTGCTTGTTCCCTTCACTGAACATGATGGTCAGACAGAGATCCAGCTCCATTAATACCTCTCAAAATTCAAAAACTGTTGCAGTCCGCGGCTTATGTCGTCAAGCTACAGTAGAGAGAGAGCTGCATGCAGAGCTAATGCTGGTTTAAAAGGCAAAGATTCAACCATCCCCACCAACCACTGGGCGTCATGGCCGAACAGTGAAGAAATCTAAAATCAAGACAAGGTTAACCATAGTTGAGGAATGGGACAAACTTGGAGAATTAAAACCAACAACCAAAGAAGTGAGACGGAGTACATTAAAAGACTGAGTTGTAAGGTGAGTGTGGAGAGCATGAGGTTTAAATAGTACAGTACAGGAACAGTGGGTTTGTCCTTTATTTCTCTCTTTCTGTCCTCACCCCCTGAGGAGTCCTGCGTCACAACACCTGGCCATCAGGTTGGCATTTTTCAATCGTAACACGAGTCGGCTGAACAACTGAAACAAACGGCACAAATTGCTTGCAGAACAATCACTGGCCAGCATTAATGGTCTCAAACTGACCAATAAGCAGCCAGTAAAGGCCGACCTGTCTCCAGTGGATAACTGGATATAAATTGCTTAAAAAATATAAATAAAAAAAGAACAACCAGCTAATTTGAACGTCATTCAGTCTTTTCAATCAAAACAGAGTGAGAGATGTTCCCCCTCCCCCAAACCTGACTTCTGGCACCATATTTGAAGTTTAAGTAGTAGTCTTGTTGGCAATGACGAACGGTGGAGAGGTTTAGGTGTCGAGGCAGGTGCGCCTCCTGCTGGCCAGGAGGTCTCTGTAAACGGTGGAGTTGAGGAAACGGGGGAAGGAGTCTCGGTGCATCAGTGTGTAGATCTGGAGTTGGGCGTCCTCGTACATCCGGTTGCTGGGCTCCGCTAGACTCTGATTAATTCCTTCTCGTACCCGTGAGTCCAGGCTCACCTGGAGTCAAGACAAATTAGGAAGTTAGAGAGTTCGGGCAAAGTACAGAAAAAGAAGTGATAAACTTGTAATTAGGCTAACAACAAAGTGACAGATAAGTTATCATTTTGTCTACAAAGTAGCATATTTCTCTTAGATATTAAATTTTTACATAGTTGCTTTATTTAAGCTTAGCCTCTGTTGTGTTTATTGTTAACTTATCAATTCAGAACTATATATAATCAAATAAAGTGCTGACGGCTCTGGCTTTGTGGCGCCTCACCTCTTTGGGTGATAATATAGAGACGTAATCTTCATAAATAATCCTGGCCTTCTCCTCCACCACTGAGGGACCGGTCTCCTTTTTCAACTCTTCACAGGCCAACCAGAAAAGCAGGTTGTCCTCGCTATACTCAGAGCGCAGGAACTCACGGAAGATCTCCCGGCCCTCCAATGAGCGCAGCATCAACTCAAAGCTTCGAGCCCACGATAGAACCTCCTCTAGACTGGGCTGTCTGCAATTAAGAGGGGAAAAAAGCAACAACAACAAAAAAAGTTGGGTTTGAAATCAACAAAACAACAATAAAAACAGAAGCGAGCAACAACGGTGGGAGCTTGGCTGCACTCACTGTTCTTCAGCAGCTTCAATACTGTCCATTTTGGTGCAGGTTTGACGTTCACTTCTCTCAATTCTGTCTTCATTCCTGAATAAGACACAGGAAATGATCATGCATAACAAAATAAGCATCGCAGGTGACTAATGCTAATAAATAACATTTAACACTTTTCTTTTAATATAAGTCAAAGTGCTATGCATTTGGCTGTTACTGGATATACGTCACCAGCTCTTACAGCTGTTGCATAATTTTTGTAGCAAATAAGCCTAAATAAGAGGGCTATGTTCTGACAAAGGAACATATATAAAATATCGGTATCGGCATTGGTTATCGGCCAAATAAGTTTTAACATATTGGCATATCAGATATCGGCCAAAAATCCAATATCGTGCATCCCTAATATACCATATATCTGATTCTATTCAAGCCATTTCTTTGAACTTGTGGCCACATAAACTAGCTGTCAGAATATTTGTGGTGCACTCTCTGGAACTGCTTTGAGCATCATGGAGCTGGACGAGCCGGAGCCTCAATCAATTGTATGTAAAATGACAGCGGGTACAAGTGCTTTGGATTGATGATTACATTTTATTTTAGTATTTCAACTTTGTAAACAATTTAATCATCCTTCAGAAAAGGTTCCAGACGTCAGTCCCAACAAATACGATTCAACTCTCTGAAAGGACAACACACAAAATGCAATTTGATACAATTGCATTTCCTGTGAAAATGCAGTGTGAATTGCAGAAGAACTTGCTGAGAAACTGTTGAAATGAGCTAAACGAAACATGGTGAAATGTAGCTGAAAAGGAAGAAAAAGCCTAAATTAGCAGAAGAAAGCATTCTAACACATATTTGCTGAATTAAGTTTAAATAAGGAGAAATGAGCACAAAACTTAGGAAATTTACTAAAAAAAAAAAGGCTGAAGTTAGCAAAATGTTGCTGAAAAGTAGCTGAAAGGACAGAAAGAAGTTTAATATACCAGTAGGAAGCGGAAAGAGCTGGAATGTGGAAAAAAAATTGGAATTAGCTGACAAAACTAAAATTAGCATAAAACAGCTAAATAGCAGCTGAAATTGCAGAAAATGCTGAAACTAGAAGAAATAGCTCAAAGGAGCATAACAAGATGAAATTAGCATAAAGATGTTAATCAGGCTGAAAGTACCAGCATTTACCACGAAAAACATGAATTTATCTGAAACAGCTGAAATTAGCTAAAAAAATACTAAAAGGCTAGCTGAAAAGGTAGAACAAGCTTAAATTAGCAGAAGGAAGTGCAGAGAGCACATATTTTCCCAATTAGGCTGAAAGAAGCAAAAATAAGCACAAAAAAGTGGAAATTATCTGAAAAAAGCAGAAATGCGCAAAAAAACCCAGCTGAAAAGTAGCTAAAAAGGCAAAAAGGAGCTAGAATTACAAGAAGGAAGTTGAGAGAGAACATTTTTGCTGAATTGGGCTGAAAAAAGTTGAAATGAGTGCAAAAAATTGTGGAATTAGCTGAAAAAGTTTAATTAGCATAAAATAGCTAAATAGTAGCTGAAATAGTAGAAAAAGCTGAAAATAGCAGAAAGAAGTTAAAGAACCATAAAAATGTTGTAGTTAGCAGCAATAAGCTGAAAGGAGCGCAAAACAGTTGAAAAAACAGCTGAAATTAGCTGAAAAAATTAGTTTAAATTTGCACAAGGAAGCTGAACCAGAACAAAAAGTGAAAGGAGCAGTAAAACGTTGTAAACAGACCTAAAGCTCTGAAAGATGTAAAATGAGCTAAATTTATTTCTTATGAGAAAAAAGGTGTCAGAAAAGGCTAAATATTTCAAAAAGCTAAAGTTGCACCAATACCAAAAGTCATAGCACCCTTCTCCTGAACGAGCTGAACGTTTCGATTTATGATTTGTTGAAAGAGCTTAAAAACTGTAGGATGAGAATCGCGCAGAAAAACGTACGGAAGAAAAATGGATCACAATAGTGTAACATATTTCATATTACTTCATAAACATTCACACAACAAGACTCCATGGTGAGTGTTGTCTTATTATAAGGTATTGCTGATCAGCACTAGATTAATCCTCTCATGCAGGTTTACATTTAACTAAATTTGCACCAATGCAGATAAAGAAGATATATGGCTTAAATATAAAACCAGGAATCCATATCTGCAGATTAAAAACGTCTCCACAATCCTGGTACTGAGAAGGATTCAGACAACAGTAATGGAGGTTTGTATACAGTTAATGATACACATAGGCCTGCCACAATTAGTCCACAGTCAGTCAGCTATGTTGATTCAGATTATTTTGCATCGTCAATAAAGCCAAAAACGGAAATGTTTGTAACCACTGGCATGTCACTTTACGATCCGAGACCTGGCCACCCCTTTTTGAATACAATGTTTAGATCTGCGTCTCTGTGATGGTTTATTAACCCAGTAGTGGCTTCAACTTAATTTTAAAGTATTTCTAATATTTGAGCAACTTAATTTCATTGAGCTGCCTTATACATTTAGGTGAATAGATAAAAGTCACAACCTTACTGTGAATAAGTAACATTAAACCCCTGAAGCAAGACATGAACAGAAATGCAACAAGAACATTAAGAAATATTAGGAACACGGTCAAAAATCATCTCTCATTTTAAGAGTAAAGAAGTTTAAATGATCAGCAATGTGGTTGAAATGCTCGGAACAACATTAAAGTGTTGAGGATAAAGTTTAAATAGAAATTTGAGAATAAACCTAATACAAGTGACTGAATGTCAGCTGCAGCAAGATGTGAAGTGGTTTTATTGGGTTGTGAAACAATCCATCCACAACCAAAACAATCCAGCTTTCATACCAACTGAAAACATCACTGCAACCACTGACGGCACTGTGCCATGTAGGAATCCAACTGTTGTGGCAACGCTTGCGCCACAGATGCCTAAACTCCAAATTCTCATGTTTTAATTATTATTTGTCTCACTGGATCTTATGATATAATCCATTCTTTCCAAACATCATGAGGGCATTTCTTTAACACACTTCATTTTGCCACTTCAGGAATTTCAAATGCTGCCACCACGTCTGGTTTTTATTTTCTTTCCTCTGAACAATCATTTTGTAGCAACGTTTTAAAAAAAAATATTAATTAGGCCTGTCGCGATAAACAATAAATCAATTAATTGCATGGAAAATGAAAATTATCGACCGCATTTTCATTTATCGGCTTTATCGTTTCTTTGTGTCTCTCTCTTTCTACTGAAGACACTGGATGACAAAAAGCTCAACTCCAGTGTTCTTCACTGACCCCTCCCTTTCTCTTTTCTCTTTAAAATCCATTTTAACTGTCCAAAAATCGCGTTTTTTGATCGCTAAAAGCAGTTAAGCTGAGAAGCTAAGCTAAGAGCTAAGCTAACAGGCCGACCTCGGGGAAAAAAAACCTCCGTCTTGTCAAAGCTCCAAAATTCACGGTTGAAACCCGGGCCTTCGTGTAAGAAGTTGTTTTTCTCTGCAAAAAGAAGCTGAGAACTGGTTTACTGATTTACTTTTATTAAAGCTCAGTGTGAAAATGCTATGCTAAAGAGCTCAAAACACACTGAGCGTCCGCCATTTTGATAACCGAAGAGAGACAGCCCATGTCATGTCAAGGGGCCTCCCTCCCATTTTTCTTAAAGAGCCACGCTGCTCGCTCCCTCACTATCCATCCTTTGGTTCATTCTAATACTGCCATCTGGTGGTCAGAAAAGTACTACACAGAAAACAAATTAAACATTTCTTCTTAAATTTGACAAAAGTACTAATTATTGTCAAATTTCAAACAATGTTATCACTTATCGCAATAATTTCTGAGACAATTAATCGCCCAACAAAATTTGTTTACATGACAGGCCTAGTATTAATACATTGATTAAGGAAAGGAAAAACAATTTTCCTGGAATTACAATATCTTCTAAACTATGACATCACTTGTAAAAGGTATTTTGTTGATTTAGTCTATGTGCTGGATGGACAGTGATTTTCTAATAATCAACTTTGTTAAAATGGGCAAATTTAAGGAACTGATGAGACGGTAACGGTCATTTTCTTTTGTTCGTTTGATCCAAGTGGTTTTTTAACCGTGCTTGGGTGGACTTTCTTCTTTGCTGCTTATGCCCCTTCTGAAAAGTCAGAGAAGCCATTGCAGTTTATTTTGAAAGGATTATAAAGTGGAAACAATGATAATGGGTGAGCTCAGCTTTACTGTCAGAATAGATGAACCCCCACCACCACAACCACCACGATGATCCACTGGATCTGGGAAAATGAAGTAATATAAAGATCCACAGCTAGCAGGATTAGCAGCAGGATGTGTTAGTACCCAAAGCCTCTGAGGGTTTGTCAGCTGCAGGACTTGGAATGAGTAAACTTGAATTCACCACAAGTCCAAACCCCATGAACACTTCTTTAGCAAAACACAAACCAGGCAACGGCCTAAATCATAAAGCTGCAGCTGAGATCAGCACTTGTGAACATGGTTTCACTGCTTCTAAACAATTTAACAATATATTTGAAGTGTTTTTGCTTAAAACGGCCATCCCAACTTACAACCTCCTTTCCTCTTTTTTGGCAGCAGTTAATTAAACCCAGATAAAAAACAAGTTTCTGTAAAGTCCACGCTAACCCTCAGAAGAACATGGTAGTCTCTATGTCTATCGTGGCTCAGTCACATTTGCTGAATCCACAATGCAACACACACTCTTCAGTCTATTTTTGTCCCACAGTGGAGGATCTTTCCTTCCTCTTGCTGTCTCTTCTCAAAGTCTCCATTGTGCAGCAGTAATGGGCTAAGCCAACCTCAGCCCCCCGGCACCCTCACAATACAGTTAAATATACAGGCAGCTCTTCACAGCTGTTTTGCATGTGATGTGTGGACGAAAATAGAAGGCACCCCGACCAGATAAGAGGCCATGTTTAATGAGTGGGAGAGGATGCTCTGTGTGACCCGTTAATGTTTTCAGCTAAATTTTCCCTCTAATTTCCAACACTTAGTATTGGATGAGATCTTTGACTCACAAGGTTGAATCTAACACTTAAATGAGCATGATGGTTAAAAACAAATTTAAGTGAACAAACAGCCCTTACTAAGGCTGTAAGTGCGTCAAATATGAGCTTTCGACCTTGCTTCGGCACTGCGGTAAATAAACATACAGGTTAACGAGGACACAGCAATCCAGGCTCGTTATGGAGATCTGACACCAGCGTTGGACTGATAAAAACATGCAGCAGAGTCACAGTCCACAAGCTGCCGCCACTTCAGATGAAGTGGTGCGAAAGAAGCGGTACATTCACCATTCACTGCCTGAAAACAATGTTTCATTCACTCCTCTCTCCTGAAGAGAGAGGAGCCACAGTCAGGCAGCTGAAGGAGCTTCATACCCGTGGACAGCATTAGTGCCTGGCTCAGGGGCAACACGTGGCAAGACTGTGCAACCGTCACCTACAGGGGGATTTGTGCACGTAAGGATGACATATTTTTATTGTTAAAATGAAAACTGTTTCTTCAAAAAACAGATTTCTTTTGTGATCGTTTCAAAAATCAGCCGAAGTTGACTGTGCGAAAGCTGAAAGTGTTGTGCTGCCAGAATTCACACTATTGTGTTCCTGTTTTTAAGTTCAAGCAATAAAACTACGTCTGCATAATTCATAATATATCAGCTACACATATATCAAAATTGTCAGCACATTCAGGGAGATAGGTGCTATGATATTTGTTATTAAACTTTTATATTTTTTTTAACATTTCACTTTTTTTTTTTTTGCAAATATTTTCCTCATAAAAATACAATGAGCTCTCTTTAGTTCCTTCACAATAATCATTCTCTCAGATATCCACGTCAGCAACTTTTAGATTGTAGCTAATCTTTTCTTATTTTAGCTTTTAGCTACTATTATTTAGCTTTTTGCTTCAATTAACTTCTAGCTAGAGTTTTGCTACTTATTGCTAGTCTTTTGCTACTTTAGGCGTTAGTTTGGTTTAGTTTTTGGGTAGAGTTCAGTTAGAATTAGCTTTAAGTTACAATTTACCTACTTTGAGCTGTTTTTATGTACTTTTAGCTTTTACTTAGTCTTATGCAACTTTAGCTTATAGCTAGCCTGTTGTTTCTAGCTAGGCTTTTGTTTCAATTAGCTTCTAACTACAGTTTTGCTACTTTTAGCTAGCCTTTTGTTACTTTCAGCTTTGCTAGATTCAGCTTTTACGAAGTGCCACATTTAGTTTTAAGTTACAGTGTCTATACTTTTAGCTAGTTTTTGGTCATTCTAACTTATACCTAGCATCATGTTTTAGCTAGTGTTCTGCTTCTTTTAGTTTTAACAACTCAGTTACAGATTGTTCAGCAGTCATTCAGCACTCACGCAGCATTTTTGTAGAAATTACTATTTCTCTACTTTTAACCAAAATAGTTGCATGTAAAAATATTTGACTTCATAATTAAAGAACAGCGTATTTATTTTTTATTTTTATAAATCATCTGTTCTTTAAAAGTTTCCAAAATGAGGTAATCGCAACTAAGAAAATCACTAGTACATGAAATAACACTGTGATTACCGGTATTCGTTTTATAAAAGCAATGCCAAATCGTTGTGGCTGTGTACAAAGTACATTTCTATAAAGTCTTAGCTTGTACTACCAAATGTAGCATGTTTATTTACTCTTTGACTTAGACGTCTTTACTAGCAAAAGCTTAAAACTGAAACAGGAAGAACTTTTTCTCAGTAAATGTAGAGTTTGGTAATAACTCTCAAACATGGCCTTCCTGTGTATTTTTTGTTAACCCACTCATCAATTCATCACAGCAGTATGTGCAGCTTCAGTATTAAGTGGCAGAAAAAAACATTTTTGTACAAATTTCTATCCGAGTGCAACAACTTCCTGGAAACTTTGCTTGCCTCTTTAAATAGCACACTTATTTTTACATTTTTCCTTTGAGTGTAGGGTAACACAGATAAAAGCACATAAACAAGTTACAAAAAAGAAGCTATGTACTGTATGCATGTTGAGACAAAAAAAGAAATAATTAACTTTAAAAATAGAAAAAAAAAGAAGTGATCCTCCACAGTCTAAATCTAAAACTTAATTTGATTTGTTAAATTCTGTTAGCTTAGTGCGAGTACAAATTTGTATTTATTCAGCTAATCATCATCATCGGTAAAGACAAACTGTTAGTTTTTTGTTTTCAGCAATGACATTTTTTTAGTTTTAATTCTGACACTTGTTCAAAAAACTGCTTAGCTGAAAATTAAGCGGAACTATTCCTGTTTAATACGAACGGCCAATATAATCTACAGCATGTGTTAACTGCCTGCTCATCAATATAAGACTTAAGAGTGCAGCATAGTGAAGATAATTATTTTTCCTCCCACGTGTTACTTTGCTTTGATGGTTAAATTTATTCTTCCCTTGTTGGTCCTTTTCAAAGGCTGCAGTCATTGCATTACAATTAGTAATAGACACAAAACACCTTTATGGTGCAGAGCTGATGAAGACTAAATTATAGTTATCGTACTATTCTACAGGTGATACAAGCATTTATTTGGTAAGCATGCAATAAAGTAAATTACCAACAACTTCAGGTTTTGAAGGAGCACAATAAACGAACCAGCCAACCAGGTTTCAGTCAGTAATCAGGCTATTTATGCTGTTTGCGTCAAGTTACTGTACAGATAAATCAACCGGCAATCGTTGATTTATTTCTGAGCTAACAGAAACTCAGAGCTCACAATTCTTCGCCATAAAAGAAAAAAAAAAATGCAACAAGTGGGATCTAGTTTACATGTCCACAAAATGTGGAGCAACATCATCATTTGCCTTTTAGTGCTTCTTGCAACCTACCGAGTGAAATCAGCTGCGTCGCTTCAAGCATACAGCTACACAGATTTTTAGCGTCTACGCCAGATCTGATCACGTGCTTAGAGCGAGCGTTCTGATTGGCTAAAAGTACGGCAGTCAGTTACTTCTTTTAGGCTGGGCTACAACTGTGTCTGTATAATTTATTGAGAGAACTGAATACTTCAGAGGCTGAATGGAATCAAGTTGAAGCACAATTTTGATCTGGGCACACCAGCTGATGATAACTGATTAAGGTGGTATCACACTTGGCTGCAACCATTGGAGATTATATGGTGACTCAACATTGTGAGAAATGTACCAGAAAATTGACAAACTTCCTGTTGCAGTTCCCGTAAACTCTGTGTTTGCAACAAAGCTGTGTGGTCATATTTTGAGTGATCCTTTTTTTAATTTATTTTTTTATCGCAGCCTATGTTTGTTTGCTTAGCTTACAAATCTGTGATTTAGACCATGCCCATCGTTTAGTTGCCCACCTCTGACGCCACTGTACCAGACTGTACCCATCCTATCATACCGCTTCTCAGGTTATAATTTAATCTTTTGAGCAGATTTTAGAAATGAAGATAAGCAGATTTAAACAAGATTTATTATTGTTATTATTACTACTACTACCTTCCAACATGTAGGTAATATCCAGTAAGTTTAACAAATTTTATAGGAGAGAAAAAAACATTTGTTACAACTAAAAACATTACAAGAGCTGAAAGTTGAGGGCCGGACGAATTAGGCCAGATTTTCTTAGTGACCGCCTTCATAAGGTTTACTTTATGCATCGTTTTTCATGAAAGACTGATTTTTATTAAAAAAAATACTATAAATGAGCTGCAGTCTATCTAATGAAATGATGTGAATAAAATGACGGGTTTCCTTACCAGAGACACTTGCAGCAGCCGCACCAACAGAGGCAGCAGGTGTTAGGTCGGGGCTGTCCAGGGGCCTGGGGAGGGGGCTCGATATGAGCCGCCTGCCTTTTTCGCATCTCCACTCCACTCACGCTGTGGGGCTTCACGTTGAGAGCATGAAGGAAATAAACAGTTACATATCATTCAAATCAATCCCAAGCCAACAAACAGAATTCAGAAAATGCCTCCACATGTTTCACTTTTTGTTGTCCTGATATATTACTGTACACGACAAAGGGAAGAAATAATGTGTTTGTTTTAGAGAAAGATGAAGTGTGACTGTGAGCACTGAGGCAGGACTGAGAGGATTCCCTTCCTTGTTTGGTACTGGGATCTCTGGCATCAGACCAAGTATTTCTCTCAGCTTCCACACACACAAACACACACACACACACAATGAGCATTTTAATTAGCACAAAAACCGACAGAAACAGGATCAACATATCACAGACAAACAAGCACACGTGCACAATAAAAACACAATTAATGCACATTCATCGTCACCTGCTCTTTCATCATTAATTCATCATTGTGGTCTACTGCTGCCTCAAAATGTACATTTATAATCTGAGAAACTTTCTTTTGCTTGATTTGTTCTTTTGTTTCACAGTTACTTCTGATTAGGTAAAATTTACCGCAGTTATCTGAGGGACACTTTTAAAATAAAGGCCCAGCATTCTTTAAAACCATGCATATCGCCGACCCCTTTCAGGCTAAAGTTTAACCATAAGCTGTCTCTCAAGGTGTTTCAGAGATTTTGGCAGTACATCCAACTGGCCTCACAACCACAGACCACATGCGCTGGACCTCCACATCCAGCATCTTCGCTTCCAAGATCGTCTTGAGACCAACTACAAACTGTCGGAAACCGTCTCAGAGAAGCTCATTGCATGCTCGTCATCCCTCACCCGGGTCTCCACCTGACTGCAGTTCATCGTAGTAACTGACTTTGCTCACATTCGACGGTGTATGGCGTGTTGGAGAGGTGTTCCCTTCACGGCGGAATCCCGGTTTTCACTATAAAGGGCAGATGACAGACTGTGTGTATGATGTCATGTGGGTGAGCAGTTTGCTGATGTCAACATTGTGAAGCAAGTGGCCCATAGCGGCAGTGGGGATATGAGCAGGAGTATGTTGTGGACAATGTACACAGGGGCTGGTGTGGTTGCACGTGGTCTGCGGTTGTGAGGCCGGTTGGATGTCCAGTAGTCCCTCACTACTTCACGGTTAGTTTTTCGCGAACTCGCTCTATAGTGGTTTTTCCAAAATGAAATTGGACATGACACAAAAATAATTGGCTGATTGATGGATGAGCCACACGATCGGCATGGAATTGTTATTCAAAATAAATTGTTTTAAATTATTTAGCACCAGTGTGCAGCCCAAACTGCTCTCCTGCAGCTGATCAGCTGATCTCCGCTGTACAGTGGAGAATTGGGCGTGGCAAAGAGCGTCAGGTGGCAGAGAGCAGCCGAGGCAGAGAGCTGAGTTCATGACATGCTGTGCTCTTTTAGAGTGTTTAGAGTTTAGAAACATTGTTCAGAACATTGTATGGGAAGGTTTAAAACACCTTTATATATAAATACTAAAATAAAACTACTACTTACTACTATACATACTTCGTGGTTTTCCACTCATCACGGGGGGACTGAGAACAGAAACCCCCCGCGATAAACGAGGGACTACTGTACGGCCAAATTCTCTGAACATGGACATTCCTGCAGTCAATTGCACGCTCCCTCAAAACCTGCGACAGCTGTGGAATTGTGCTGTGTGATAAAACTTCACATTTTAGAGTGGCCTTTTATTGTGGTCAGCCTAAGGTACACCTGTGCAATAATCATGCTGTCTATTCAGCACCTTGATGTGCCACACTTGTGAGGTGTGTTGTTTCAGTGAAACTGCAGAGAACTTTTAATGTTTTTCAAACTCAGTCCACTTTATTCCACTCACACACCTGGTAGCATGCCACTACTCAGTACTCTTCTTCATCAGTATATATAGGTAAAGGAAAGTAATAGTAAAGGTGAAGACACTGCCACCAAAAGGATAGGAGTCCAAAGACTCATATCACCACAAGGTGGAGGGAGTATCTCGGCGAAGAAGTGCTCACTAACATAGATTTACACAAACTTGGGAACAATATTTGTGGAAAAAAAGGTATTTTGTGTACGTAAAAAAAAACACTTAGATCTTTGAGTTCAGCTCATGAAAAATGGGAGCAAAAACAAAAGTGTTGCATTTATATTTTTGTTCAGTGCATGTTGAGATTGACTCAGTTTTAATTACACCAAATTTGCGCTCATTCCCTTTAAAATTACCTGAGCTGTAGCCATTTGTGCACAGGCAATGTTGAATAGTTGTAATCAGTTGTAGATGTACATCAAATGATTACTTTCTCAGTTTTGTTAAAATTTGTCCAGTGGTTCATGGGATATTTTCCCAAGAGACTGAACTGACTTCACCAGATAATGGCAAAAACAAACAAACAAAAAACAGATCTGACGCAATCAGTTAGCACTTAAAAGTGTTGAAGATGACTCTTAGCTAGTAACACACCCAGTTTTAGCTCAATAGCTATAAAACTGACTGAGGTATAATTTTTTTTATGTTTGCTAAGGTTGCCTAAAGGTAATCAACTATAGATGTCTTTCTAATTATTTATTTCTGAAGTTTTTATTTAAAAATAATACAAGGGTTTATAGGATATTTTGCTAACATGACAAACACATGCAAAAACATTACCTATTGTTTTTTCCATTTGACAACTTGCAATATTTACAGTACCAACTGTTTTTATTAATTAACACGTTCTTTCATAATCGCTGCTCATAATATGAACCATTGTCTTACAACACAAGCAGTGACACAGCTGACAGGCAGCTGTCCATATTAATGCTTACCGTCATCAGCAAGGTAACGTTTGCATATTAACACAAAAAAAAAAAGAGTGGGAGTAATGAAAAAAAAAGGGAGCTGTCTCTTTAAATTGTAACTACTCTTCTGTGGGTGAATACTTCCTCCACACAGCCTTTGCTCCTTATCTCCTAGCTAAAGCCAGTCCCCCTTCTGATCCTTGGACTATAAATAAAACGGTAATTCTGTCATTCTGCCTTGTAAGAGCTACTAATATGCAGCCTTCTACCCATAATCAGCTAATGTACACAAAACCAACCAAACTTTCCTTCAGCTTCTAATTTAAAACAACTCAGCGATTGGCAGTGCAGACTTAGGGAGGTCTGAAGAAAGCCCTAACAGGCTTGTGCAAGCAAAGGTTCATATTGGGTTAAAAAAAAAAGACACTTGAGGGCATTTTCAAGTTGTTTCAACAGCAAAAAAAACAAAAAAAAAAACAAGAAGCTAAATTTGTGAGGCTATCAAGTGTGTTTAAAATTAAACAAATGGAACAAGACCCAGTTTGGGGGAGTTTTACATCACTGGGAAACTTGGACTGCTGTCAAACTGCATGCAGGCTGATTCGTTTTGTTGGTGAACAGAACTGCAGCACAAATTAGAACTGAATCAGTTCAGACATTTAACAAGCAGTTTAAAGTTAAGTTGTAATGTCTCCCCACCCTTGTTGAAGAGATAACTTTAAAAACACACCCTAAATAAATACAATGCTTTTATATTATTTTGGCTTGTTTGAATAAAAACTGGGATTTTATTTTAATACCAGAAAATAACACATAGCTCAGAATGCATGTTTTGCCAAATAAGCATATTCTGAGATTCAAAAAACTTCCCTACAGAAAATCTACAACTTATCTTCATCCTATGGCTGTTGGCTTGAAAATGTATAAATTGGACTTAGTACAATTTCTGAAACAGAGCTCTTACCTGTAAAGTCATGATTCAAATAAAACTTCTCAAAATAGGACATATAAATCCACGTAATGATAACTGCCAGTAGCATAGAAAAGGCTTCTCCCCTCTTTATCATTTTCTCCACTAAACACGTGATTTCCACCAACAATAATGCACGGGAGGTAAGCCTGAGGCGACCTGCCTGGTATGCAAATGCAGTCGCCTGACCGGCAGAGTGGCCATCGGTTATTCAGCAACCAGGTAGCACCGGTGGAAAACAGGCCGCTAGATGCAAATGAGAGCAAGGGTTTGGTTTTGTTCCAAACTGGGAGAAGAGGCCATACTGACGGGATATGCAAATAGGGGTTGGAAATACAAATATGCTGAGAAGAGTGGGAAAAACAAAAAAAGTTGTCAAAAATAAAAGATGCCACATGTTCTGTAAAACTCTTCCAGATTTTCTAAAGAATGTTAATATCTTCACATGCTTTGCACATTAGATCAACCTAGAATGAGATGTAAATTTCATTTAAGAAATACATTAACAATATCTAGCCTAGCCTTTGATGACCTAAAGGTGCCATAAGTAATACAAGAGGATATTTTGTCGCAAGATGCTTCATACTTGTCATTTAACGGACTCCGACACGTTTGATATGTGAAACGCAGACGAGACGAGTGCCCTCCCAAGGCAAGTGGCCTCGGGGGAACACTGGACTGGTTCATCCCAAAGATATAGTGTATGCTGCTGTTAAGTGCCAGGAGGGCTGTGATCAGTTATACACTGGAGAAAACAGAGCAGCCACTGGCCAAAAGGATGGCCCAGCACAAAAGATCAGCACCATCAGGCCAAGACTCTGCAGTTTACGCTCATCTCCAGGCCAGCGGTAACTTTTTCAGGGATGACGATGTGCACATCCTTGATAGAGGAACCTTGGTAAAAGAGAAGAGTAACAGAAGCCATCTTTGTGAAGAGAATCCGCTCGTCCCCATCTTACAATGCTAATATTGCTAGTATCACTCAGCCCTAAGCAACCAGCAGGGCACTAACAATCAGTCGTTAGGCTGATAATCCTCCTTTTGCTTGTGAACAACTAGTTTTGTCTGTCACCAGCAAACTGGTTGATCCATTATGAGAAGGTGCTGGACTGTTTGCTTGCAGGTACTCAGAGTGTTGTTTATCGCAAACAGTGGTGGGCACAGCTAACCAAAAAGTTAGCTTTGCTAACCGCTAATTCACCAACTAAAATAATTAGCTTTACTAACGCTAAACCTCTGAAAAGATTTTTTAAAATTAGCAGAAGCTAACGCAAAAGTGCTAACTTTTATCATACACCGCTGTTGCTGACACTGTAAGACTGTCTGTAATGTGACAACGTTGTTACTGAACACAACTCAGAACGGTTCATAAAACATAAGTAAAGGGTCCATGTCCCGTTCAAAGGTGAGCTATCAGGAATTAATCCGGCCCATCGGAATCAAAGTTGTGGAGCAGAACTTTGCTGTGCTGAAGTAGATTGATGCATTCAGTGTGTGTCAGACGTCTTCCTCGTGTCATTTACTTTAATGAATTGACTCACTTTGGTGATCATCTTTGTGGTTAACGTCTTGTATAAACCAACTACAAAGTTGCTGTGCGTCATCATCAATATTCGTTCAGTAAAATTGGTTTGTATTAAAGTAAAGATGTGTGAAATGTGTGAGAGAGTCATGTCCCAGAGACAGTGAGAGCATTACAAAGCATGCTGGGCAGGAATTATGTTTGCAATATTTCTGACTGTTTACTGGCTGGGTGGTGCTTAGCTTTGCTTAGCTCTGCATAGCGTAGCTCCATGTAAATCACCATTCTCCTGTACACTTTTAGTGCAGAGAACTGTCTTTTAAAAAATTAGCGGATTTGGATTTACCGGATTCGATTTTAGCAAAAGCTAATTCTGTTAAAGGTTTTCAAAGTTAGCAAAAACATTAATCCGCTCAATGGAAAGTTAGTTGCACTATTAGCAGATATAGTGGAACCATGCCCACCACTGACCACGTACATTGACATACAAAATTAAATAGCTTTGTGTTTTATATTATCTTCTATCTTTAGAAACCAGGTTGTCAAATTTAAACAGTTTACAATGATACAGTGTTACTTGAAAGTTTGTGAACCCTGAAGCATTTGCTATATTTCTGCATAAATATGACCTAAACATCTTCAGATTTTCACAAAAGTCCAAACAGCAGATAAAGAGAACCCAGTTAAACAAACAAGACAAAAAATATTATACTTGGTTATTTATTTATTGAGGAAAATGATCCAATATTACATATTTGTGAGTGGCAAAAGTATGTGAACCTCTAGGATTAGCAGTTAATTTGAAGGTGAAGTTAGAGTCGGGTGTTTTCAGTCAATGGGAAAATGATCAGGTGTGAGTGGGCACCATGTGAGATTTAAAGAGCAGGGATCTCTCAAAGTCTGCTCTTGACAACATGTGTGTGGAAATGTATCATGGCACAAAAAAGGAGATTTCTGAGGAACTGCGAAAAGAGTTGTTGATGCTATCAGGCTGAAAAAAGTTACAAAACCATCCCTAAAGAGTTTGGACTCCACCAATCCACAGTCAGACAGATTGCTAACAAATGAAAGGCATTCAAGACCATTGTTACCCTCCACAGGAATGGTCAACCAACAAAGATCACTCCAAGAACAGTGTGTAATAGTCGAAGAGGTCACAAAGGACCTCAGGGTAACTTCTAACAACTGAAGGCCTCTCTCACATTGACTAATGTTAATGTTCATGAGTCCACCATCCGGAGAACACTGAACAACAATGGTGTGTATGGCAGGGTTGCAAGGAGGAAGCCACTGTTCTTGAGGAAAATGGTCCAATACTACATATTTGTAAAACCCAAACACCAAATCCTGAAAGCAAAGATTCACTTTTGCCACTCACAAATATGTAATATTGGATCATTTTCCTCAGTAAATAAATAACCAAGTATAATATTTTTGTCTCATTTGTTTAACTGGGTTCTCTTTATCTACTTTTAGAGGACTTGTGTGAAAATCTGATGAAGTTTTTGGTCACATTTATGCAGAAACACAGAAAATTCTAAAGGCTTCACAAACTTTCAAGCACCACTGTACAGTGAATTTGACAGAATATCAGCCAACGTCTGCTGATGGCTAAGAAGGACATCTATATGTATTAGTGGGCACCTGTGGAGTAAAGCAATCCTGGGGAGGTGGGGGGTTGTCTGGGGGGACCAGAGGCATGAACCTCCCCCCCACCCCCCAGAAATTTAAAAATAAAAATCAACACAAAATTATGCAGTGTCCAACCATTTGAAGAGCATTTTACTAATATTCAATATTAACAAAACAACAAAATCAGTATATTATGATGGTAGCACGCTGACAGCTGGTCTTGAAGCTGAACTTTACATGAGATCATATTTAAAAATGGCATTACCCTTATTTCTTTACAAATTGAGCACCATAAGTTTGTCTTGATTGCATTAGTCTGTACTTTTATCACAAAATATCCTCTTTACCACATAACCTCATGTAGCAACAAGAGACTACCCTGAGACACCCACAGAACAAGTTTCCTTCATAACCCTGAGTAACCAGTGACTATTCTATAAACCAAATCAACTACCATATAATAATAAGATAGCATGTAAAATCTTTAAAGTACTTGTTGAATACAAGACAAGTACAAATGCCATTACCAAGAAAAAAAACTAAAGATGATTGAGAAACTGATGTAAATAATCACATTACTAAATAAACTACAACTACTTCGTAGCAACAAAGTTGTGAAGTCCTTACATCCCTTAGTGTACACATGTGCACACCCACAGCACAGCAGACTATGGCCACAAAACATCTATATCTCTGCATTGAGCCAGTGTGATATGACAGGAATCATTCATAGAGAGAGATTAACACAACTACAAGCCCCGAGAACTGATAAGATGCCTGCTAATACTATTGCATAATAAAACAGTAATATCATCACATCAGAATTTAACAAATCAAGTACACTGAAATAAAAAATGCAACCTTATCTATAGATCCACATTTACTAAACATAACTTTGCTGGTTATTTTAAAACATATATATGAATTGTTTTACCCAGCACAGAGTTAACTAGACTTCGGGGGGGGGTTTCAATAAAAAAGACAAGGTGGAAGAGGAACATGTAGACTGAACGTTATTAACAGAGGAGCCAAGTAGAGAAAACAAAAATAACAATAAAAAGTAGACCAATGTAAAACACCTGCTGAACAGATTTAATCTGCACAAACTTCCCTGAGAAATGTAAGGTGGCGTTTCCTACAGGACTACTTTTCATCTCAGCTCAGGCTCCTGCAGAACATCAGCTGGAGATAAAATGTGCAAACTGTTCTTTGATGATCAGACCACGTTCATCTGAAAGTTATGTCATTCTGCAACAAATTAATCATTTACTTTATTTTACTGTACATTTGTCTCATTCTCCCTTTACTAAATTGATCGACTACCGCTACTGATTATGACTTGATAACTATTGCCATGCCTGTGATGCTGGTAAGGCTTTTTCATCAGTGATCGGTGTTTAAACAGTCTGCGTTCACCAACAATTTTGCCTCACAGGACATCTATGTGCAATATTTATGTTGAGAAATTACTCCGGCCTCCTACTCTGAGCGATTAGCCTCCAAATCAAAAAGTTATTCTCTACAATAAGAACACAAACTTTTGGAAACACTAACAGGTAAGACAGCTCTAACGTGATAAAATGACCTCCATTGCCACTGAATATTATGACACTGGGCTCAGTATTTTTTGCTCAATTAACTCCCATAATCTTGCTTGAATAAAAACAGTTTTATCTGCAGCACAGAACAAAATATTGTTTATTTTAAGCCTGAAAGATTCTATAATCAGGTGTGATTACAGATGCATCCATAATCATTTTATAATCGCACCGCAGTCCTCTGAACAGTAATTAAATGGCATCGTGAGGTGCTTGAAGACTTCCACCCCAAGCTTTTTCCCCTTTTTCTGAATTTCCAGATTAGACATTTTTTTTTTTTTATAATGCTACGTAAATAATGCTTTTAATGAAAAAGTAAAAGAAAACATCTGAAACCACAATAAAAAAAACACTCGTCATCAAACATTTTCTAAACCGTGACCTGAAACAATACGTTTGACACTAAACTGAACAACTGAATGCCTTCTTGGGGTATCCCTTATAAAAGTGATATTAGTCAACCTTTAAAACTTACCATGAATTAATGAGTTCCTAAACACAGGTCAGACAGAGCAGTCATGGCGTGAGGTAATAGGTTGCTGGATGATAGCAAGTTGGTTGACAAAGTGACTGACTGGTGGGCTGTCTGAGGGTCTTTTTGGCTGTTTGGCTTGCTGGATATGCAGGTCAAGGTGAGGGGGTTGTTTTCACCACAGGGAAGAGAGGATACTGGTGTCACCATCCCTGACTGGAGTGGCAAGTTGTTTCCTTATTTCAACGTTTTGTTCTGCTCTCGCCGTTGCCCTCTAGTCTTCCTTGGATCTTGGTAAATGGATCATTTATGGAAGTGAGAGTACAGAGGGGCAGTGAACGTACAGCATCTGAAAGACACAGAGGAAAGAAAAAAAAGTTTTATACCATATATTTTAGAACGTAAAGATGCAGACTTACACGGCAGCGATGATGAACTTTTTTATTAAAGAAACACACAATCAGTGTTACTATTTCGAGCAGTAAAGACATGAAATAATTTGCATTTTGGAAGGTGGCTATATTTTAACAAGGTGGTTTCACATATAAAAAGTTCTTAGTCCCTGGCTGAAGTTTAGGAGGTTGAAGCGTATTGTTTACATTTGGAAAAGAGGTTAATAGACAATAGTTTCATGCATGTTTGTTATTTTTTACACATTCTCAAATTCATCAGGACTTTCAGTACCTCATAAAATTAACAACTTCCCCAAAGTTTGCACATTGTCTGCAGTTTCATTCTTACAGAGAAAATAAAGACATATTTGAACACTTTTGTTAAACAAGTTCTTATTTAACTGCAAAAATATAAAGTACCACCTATGTACCGTAACTGCTGAACACAAAGTGATGCAATCAAAAAAAGACTTGATGCACCAAAAACAGAAAATGAAGTTTCCTTGTTAAATTATATTGTATGTTGTATTTACCAATAATCATACCAGGAATAATAAATAAAATAAGTATCTGTACAGCAACGGAAGGTAATTTTTTTTTATTATTATTAACCTTTATTTAACCAGGCAAATCCCAATGAGATCACAGATCTCTTTTGTAAGGGAGGCCTTCAAAGCAGCCTAACATGCATGTTTTGGACAATGGGAGGAAACCAGAGTACCCGGGAAAAACCCATGAAAACACAAGGAGAAAATGCAAACTCCACACAGAAAGACCCCATGTCCATTGAACCCGGGACCTTCTTGCTGTGAAGCAACAGTGCTAACCACTAAGCCATCGTTTTGCCAGTTTAATTCAATTTGAGTCCCTAAGAGAAGCCACAAAGTAATCGTAACGTTTTTGAACAAATAATATCTTACATTGCAGATCTTTTTTTTTAGCTTAATTCTGACAAGATGTATGAGCTAATGGCTCGTCTGAGCTGGGTCAAGACTAAAGTGAACTACTCCCAGCAATTTCATATTTCGCAGTTTATGGTTATTTGCAAACACAAATAGCAGCAACAAAATGGAGTTTTTGAGACTGAAGTTGTTTTTAAGACAGCAAAAATCTACTTTGGTCTTGGTCCTGCTGGGACTAGCGACTCTTTGTCATTTAGGTCAGAATCAGTCCATCAGACTGTGTGTTTGTGAGACAGGGTACAGCCTGGACAGGTTGCAAGTCCATCGGAGGGACACAGAGACAAACAGCCCTTCCGTCACCCACACCTATAGGGACAATTTAGAGTTACCAACTAACATGCATGTTTTTGGTCTTTGAAAGGAAACTGAATTATCTTTACTTAAAACTTTAGCAATAAACTTCGGAGTCAACCTTATTTGTCTGTTAGCAAAATATCTAATGAACCACTAGAAATATTTTAAATAAACTTTTAGACTACTTATTGAACATATACATCTACAACTGATTAACTTTTGGAGTCAACCCAATTCAAGATGCCCGCCACAGACCCGTGATCTTAGAAAACACAAAAATGTCGAGAATTCCGTCAGCTTTATTGATATTAGGCTAAAGTTTGGTGTGGTAGTAGCTGAAAATAATCCCCTACACATATTCTGAGCATGACGTCTTGCAAGATTGTAGATCACATTATTTTCCAGATTAGATCAAAAATGGCTACAACTCTGTCATTTGTCAACGTAAGACGATGTTAGACTAAAGCATGATAGGTGGCGGGCGATATGCATTTCTTTAAAAATTGCTATAAGCTATGTCCAAGAGGCTAAACAGCCCTCAGTGTTTGAATAAATGACAATGTAGCTTTATTTCCTGTTTCTTAAAAACCTTTCACATCTTGTTCAAACAGCTTCTTCAGTTCTAGCATAATTTACACACTCAGTATTGGCTCGCACTTTAAGAAGAACACCCCAGGAATGGTGGGGGAGTAGAAGATGCCAAGAAAGTTTACAGCTTGCAGGAATTAGAACCAAGAAAGCCTTTTGGACAAGAGGTAAAAAAAAAAAAAGCTAATAAATTATGTTCAGGCACTTGGGAATGGCCTGGATGACTGAAAGCTCAATCAACATACAGGATGAGCCCAAACATCACATCATATGTTTAGAAATGACTGATCTTACAATATTTCTCTGCTTTGTGTAAACATGCTCAAGTAAAATATAGTTGAAATATGCAGATAAGACAGCTGCCAGCCTGTTTACCACGTCTGAGTGAGGAATAAAGTTCATGGGGTTTATGAGGAAGTCTCCCAGGATGTAGTTGCAACATAACCTGAGTTCCTCTGACTCAACACACCCATGGGGAACTGCAGTGTGGGTGTTCCTTCAGCTGTGCACTGCAGGACCACTATCTAATGCTAGTTTAGAACATTACAGGGGGAAATCACAACCGTGCACAGCAGAAAGAAATAAATCCTCTTCAAAGGCAGACGGCTGACAGGATAAAGTATCAATGGACTGTCACAGCCCGGGATATGCCCGAAAGGCCTGTGCATGTTTTCAGATAACGAGCAGAGAAGCTGATCGGAACCAGCTCTCAGCCTCTCCGAGCACCACTAGCTCTGCTGGTTAGCTTGTTTCACACCGAGCTGCCGCCTAGCAGAGAGAGGCAGGGAGGGGGGTGCCCTCCCAGCTGACACCAACGAGTCATAACCCGGCTACAGAGAGGGATGTTCGGTGCTGACTGTCACACAGACACCCTTCGCGAATCAAACAACACCCACTTTAGTGCTAGCTCCGCGAGCCGCTGTCTCAGGCGGCGGCAGGAGGAGGAGGCGGGCGGCAGCTAGCGCCGAGCTAACGTCAGCTAGCCAGCCTGAGTGAGCGGAGCGTTAGCGCGGAATAACCCAGACCTTACCGCTTTGTGTTGGGCTGTCAGCGTCCTAAAGCGACGGGGATGAAAACACGATGTTCCGACGCTTATTTACCAGCATGGCAAATGGGAATCCCGCGGTGTAAAGTCCATCTCCGCCGGGTTTTTTTCTGCCATCCGCCCCACTTCAGCACCGATTGCCACCGAGCCCCTGGATGCACTGCGCAGGCGCGCTGCCGCCGCTCTGAAGCTGCAGTCGGAGAGAAGATGCGCTCTGCTGAGGTTCACCGTCTGAAACACACGCGCGCGCGCACACACACACATGGTCATTACCTCTGCTACGCGACAAACGCACCGCCACACACCCAAATACACAGGACTATAAAACAATCCCGTTTTAGATATTCCAAAGCCAAAAAAATCTAATGAACTCAAAGGTAAAGTGAGATTAAAGTTAGGCTTCTTTTCAGAAACTTTTTTTATTTTATTTTTTTTAAAAGGTCTGCATGGCAAAGTCTGAAATCAAGCATAAAAAATGTTATCCAGAACTACATTAAGTGACAATTTGAAAGTTTATGCCAGTAGTGTTTTTTTCTTTCTGAAATGCAGGTATGCACTCAATGTAAACAAAATATACTTTACTCAGTAAATCTTAAAAAAGATGTCTCAAAGCCTCAAAAAAAAAAAAAGTCAGATTTCTCAACCCCAAATGGATGACTCTTTCATGGACGTCCTCAATGACCTGTTTTCTGTCACTTCTGCTGTTTTAGTAGGTAAACAAACCAGTGTAGTAGTTGGCAGTGGGTCACCAATCTTTAGTTTGAGGACACTTTAATCATCGATTTGAAAAAAAAAAAGTGCTGATTTTGCTTCTTACTGTATGATATAATATTGACTGGTATTCATGGCTCTAAGTAGCTTAAAACCATATAATAATAACGAAAGCTTTTATAGATTGGCCAGTGCACAAAGATTTAAGCTAGTAATTTCAGAGAGATTTTAACTAGACAAATTGATCAGTATTGTTAAAGGTATCTTTAAAATATCAAAAATAAGCAAGAAGTTCTCATAATTCTTTACGTAGAGCAGTGTTTCTGCTAACAAACATGTTCAGTTATTCTATCATATATTATTTAGTTTTGGTGTTTGGTATTCCTACATATTTTATTAGTTTATAATAGTCATAAAATAATTTTAAAAAATAGTGAATCAGTGGACGTTAATGATCACACAGCAATTTGTTTGTTCTGGCATAGCATCAAAAATAAAAAAAAATACATATCTAACTACTTCTAATGAGCTTAAACTCTAAAAATTAAAGACAAGTGTGTTTTAGGTCAAACAGTAAGACGCTGTGATTGATTTTCTTTTCTTATTTAATTTGGGAACATTGTGTACAATTTGACAAGTGAATTAAATTTAAATTGAGAGAGGTGTCTCAGAAAACAGTTGAAGAGTTCACTTGAAACACAACAGGGACAGATCAATCCAGCTTCTAAAACATGTTTTTGCATCAGTTTTTTTTATTTATTTTTTATTAATCCTACATTTTATTAAGACTGTCTATATCATCAGTATTCATTACAGTCAGCTTAAACATTGTTTTCAATAATAAACTTTAAGCATAATAAAGAAAATGCTGCTTAATATATATACTATATATTTCAGCCTGTCAAAGTGCATCTGTATTGAGAAGAACAAAATCCAGTGATGCATTTTGATAGCTGGGGGGGGGGGGGGGGGGGAGAGAAATAGTCCATTGTTAACACAAGGGGGCATCAAAACGCTGTCCTGTCTCAATAATCCCCACCACCACCACCACCACCACCACCACC